CAAAGAAACAAAAAAAGAAAGAAAGACAGAAAGAAAGACAAAGAAAGAAAGACAGACAGAAAGAACGAAAGAAACAAAAAAAGAAAGAAAGACAGAAAGACAGAAAGAAAGAAACAAACAAAGAAAAAAAAAGAAAGAAAAGACAGAAAGAAAGAAAGACAGAAAGAATTCATGGCTTACTTTTTGGTGTTTTTTTGAAGCGTATGGTGATCTGACCTTAAATTGTTTTTGTTTTTTTGTATATGACTAAAGGGATACATGCCCGTTGAGGTATTTTAAAGTCTATTTCTCGTATAAAACTAACGGGATAAGCACAAATCTGACAACTTGCGCATGCTTATTGACTATAGGTATGCTGGTCTGACTGAACGCCGGCCACAAAATCTGCAAATGAAGAGGACAAGTAAAACAAGCACGAAAGATATGTACATCCACAGGACAAGATTTACACATGCAAAGTACGTTTTAAAAATGGACACAAAACTCACAAATGTATTTCTGACGGATACGCAAATTAGCCCTAGTTTACAGGCTGGTTGTAGCCTGTGAGCCTCGCTGCATTTCTTTTTGGATTTTGTACATTCTTTATTTTCATAAAAATAAAGAATGTGCATCTCTGCTTCACTAGGTGTTAAAACCCTGAAGCAGAAAATATTAGATAATTAAAAACAACATAATTGTTCCTTTAGTTACCTTAATTTTTTGTTTTAGCTAAACAAACGTTAAAACAAAGCAAAACAACCTCGTTATACAGTCTTAATATAAGAGAATTTTTCTTTCCCTGATCAAACACTCTGTTTTCCTTAAAATGTTAGAAAGTGCATCTTTGATTTCTGTCCAACGTGTGGGAGTGGGGTTGGATAAACAGGCTGACACAGCAGGGGGAGGAACAGAGGCAACAACAATGAACACAAGCTAAAACAGCTCCATGTCACTATTTGTGGCGCTCAGGTAAATCAGCCTGAAATAATGCTCATGCTAGTCATCTGACACATTTACCTTGTTCCTTTGATTAAGCAGCTAAGACAACAAGCTCCCGCTGTGTTTGCATCGATTGTACTGTTTTCTAACAGTGATTAAACTGCAGCAGCCTTGCGCTCCCCTGTCAGGGTTGATGGCTGCATGCTGGACCAACTGAAACACTCGCATCGTTCATCCAATATGTTGCCAGGTTTGATTTGTAAAACAATTTAGCTGGATTTTGATTAAAATAAATGTTTTTGATAACGCCTGGTGCTTTGTTTACAAACACAGCCAACAGTTTTGCCTTTAGGTGCATAAATAATGGAACATAGGAGAAACTGACAGGTTACTGCCACTAAATCAACATTATTTTTGTAAATATATTCCATATGAACTCCTGCTTTGTTTTTGAAGTTGCTTATGCAAATCTCTTGTATGTGAACTACACAATATGGTTAAAGCAATATATACTGCAATGTGATAATACACGAACACATGCAGACATTTTTACAAGATTAGATTCCTTTTTTAATCTTGAAACGAAACATCACAGCTATTTACAGCTGTGATCAAAATAAAAGCAGTCCAACATCACCAACCAGACCAGTCACTGTTTTTAGTAGAAACAAATAATTCCTGCATGGTAAATAATTTAGTGGTATGTGCAGTTTAATAGGAAACCAACAGAGCCCTCAGTCATTTATGCAAGCAGCTGATTCTGCATAACAGAATCATTAATCAAAAGGGTGTGTATAAGGGAAAAAAACCCAAACAGTATGGAGTTTAGTTAGGCGTAGTTCTGTTAGGAATCCAGTGTGTGTGGGCTGTGTTTTCTTTTTGTGTTCTCTCCCTCCATCACCAGGTGGCGCCCTGTTCTCATTGGTCCTCCCACACACTTGCTTCTGGTTGTGCTCATTACTGAGGACTCTTAAGCGGTGGACTGACACTAACTCGTTGCCAGAGTGTTTGCCAGTTTTGGGTACTCTAGCCAAGCTTAGTTTAGCTGAGTCAAACTGAGTTCTAACCTTGTTTTTGTCTATGCCTTTTCGGCAGGATGTCATCCTGCAAACTGGATTGTTTGGCCTTCTCCCCCTGGAAGGATTTTTTTGAGCTTCACACTGAGCAGGGGATTAATCTTCACATGACCTGTTCAAGTTCTCCTGGAAATCTAAGTGGCAGTCCGCTCCACTGCTCCTCAAGAAACCAACCAAACCAAAAAACCAGTCCGCCCTCCAACAAGTCCCCCAATCTCTGGATAAACCCAGGCCGACTGGATTCTGGAAAGAGAACCTTTTTCTGCTAACGTGAGTCCCGTTCATCTCTGATTTTTTGCAAGACATTGTTCAAATTTACAACGGACCCTGAACTATCCTCTGAACTTCCCTTCTCACTTCCAGTTCTAGTTCACCAGCTCTCTGACTTACCCTGGATAGACCTTATCGATTATTCTAATAAACCTGTTAAACTTTTACTCTGGTTCTGAGTGGTTTCCTGCATGTGGGTCAGATCTCTTAAAAACATCATGACAAGTTCAAACAGCAAGCAATGTGACTTAAATCGATACTCGATTTTTTTCCGTCTAAATAGCCCGCTTTCATTGTCTTTACCCCCCCTATAGAAATTCTAATTTGAGCCACTCCCAGTTGTTGTACTAGTCATATCAAATAGTTTTTAAAGCATTTGGAGTCTGAATTTTATGTTGTTGCCCTAGATCAGAGTAGATTTTTACACAGCTGTAGTTTCCCCGTCTATTCTACTAAAGGCTGTTAATGGTAGTGCACTGTTTTTATCTCACCTCCCTTCTTCTTTTATGATAAAAGGATTTTAAAGGATTCTTTAACAACGTTTGGCAGAACAAGCAGTTCCCCCCTAAACCAGAGAGTGTCCGGAAGTATAATACTAAAGACAAAAACAAAGAAAAGGTGAGCCATGCCAGTGCTGAAGAAAGCAGAATAAATGAAGAAGATGTAAGCAGAACATTTTGTAATGATGCAGGTCATGTAATTTTTTTGAATTTTATTATTTATTTATTAAACACTTGGAGAGAGACACATCTATAATTTGTGCTTTATACAGTTTGCTGCTCTGTCCTCTACATTTTATTCTATGGGATCGGGGTTCTGAACCAGTTTCACTTTTCCATAGCTCATTTCAGACATACGCACTAAATATTATATTTCACAATTGCACGTCATTAATTACAGTATATGCATGTAAAATTTGTATCTTTTTGCTGGTTTGTCTGAAATAAAGTGATACGTTCATTCACTCAAACTTTCATATAATAACCTTTAAGACCTGATGTGTGAACGTAGCTTTAGTGAGATTTTCCTTTTGGGCCTAAATGCTTAACCTGACTCCGCCAGATGGATTTGCTCCGCATATCCATCTGGAAACCTTCCATTGAAGTCATTTTGGGAAGGGGCGAAAATACTGTTTAGCTGATTGGCCTATGTTGGTGAAATAAACCAATCAGATCAACGAAGCATATGACGTACTAACAGAGCGACGAGGAAAACACAACCACAAGCCAGGCTACTCTTGCAGAAACTAGTCGGGAGAAGAGCAAAAACATCTTTTCCTCTGAGAAAAGCCTCCAGAGCAGTGTTTTGCTCTTATTTCAGTGAAGAAATACTCTGTAATTCCGATAAAACTTGCTCGATAGCCACGCTAACGCTAGTTTCATCGGCTGAAGCCGGCATGTTCTTTAGACTGAACTGTCGCGCTTCTCGTTGCGTCACACCTCAACCCGCCTCAAAACCAACGCTCATTGGACGTTCGTTTGGTGTACGGCTCCAAATTTTCTTTAACGGAGAGTCTCCAGACTGATTAGCAAGTGAAACCTTGAAAGCTCGCGAGATCAGGATGGTCTCACGAGGCTACTAAATGCCCCCCTAAGCACTAAATTCAAGCCGCTTTGTAGTGCACCACGTTATATTGTAGGGATATTTTTCATGTCAGGTATATTTTCAAATATCATGGATCACTGATAAGGAATTAAATTATAAGGTTGTATGAATGTTGACTTAAACCTATACATACTGGATATTCTGATTCCTACTATATCTGAGACATTACACTGCAGTCCTGCAACCCTTGTGAAGAGACCAATGCAGGAGAATAAAACAATACATGCAGTTCAAAATCAGTCCTAAACATCAGCCTTAAAGTAAATCATGATGTTTAATTTAATTTTCAGGAAGTAAAATGCTTGCTCATAGTGCAAAAGCATTAGGTCACTCTTAAATTTTATGCTTTGATCTACCTTTTGCTTCTCTGGGTAGATGTTTATCAATATTGTCCTACTGAAAGGTGAACCACCAACCCAGTATTCGGGCCTTCTGTAACCCCTACAAGGTTTTCTTTAAGGATTGTACTGCATTTAGCTCCATCCATCTCCTCATCAACTAGAGATGAGCAGCCATCACTATGATTCACAGAAGCAGTGATGTCTCCAGATCAGGGGTCACCAACCTTTTTAAGGCTGAGGGCCACTTCAAGGGTACCGAGACGTAGGAAGGGTGACCATTACTGACCCATGAGCTGCAAGGGTAAGCGTTAGCCTAAACTTTGTACATTATCAACTTATTTTTATTGTTTCTGTTAATTTCTAAGTTTATTTAGACATTGTCATTTTTGAAATCTCTATAAATGACTAAAAAGAAGAGCAACAGAATAAAATAACATTTCAAACTTAGCCCACTGATGGGCTCATCACGCTTTACTTAGGTGACATCTAAAGGCAATAACGTTTTCATCAATGGGCTTCAGGGCACAGAGGGCTAAATATAGAAAAAACTTTTTTGTTTATTTCATAGTAAGGTGCTATTTTGTGTAAAAACGGGGGTTATAATGTGAATAAATATCAAAGAGTTGAAGTTGTGGATATTTTTGCAAACATATATGCTGGAGGTAACCCTGGGGAGATCTCCCCTCTCTGCCTAAATGAGTGACAACATCAACCTAAAATATTTGGAGATTAAAGAACGATGGTAGATATAGCAGATGGATAATTATTAATATTGTGTAATACTTACGTCTCATGTCTCGGAAGTAAATAGTCTGTCTGTTGGGGTTGAGAAGCTGGATAACAGAGTCATCATTGTCCTTCACCCGACAGCTGATGATTGCCGTCTCTCCTTCCACCACAGACACATCGTCCGTCACCAGATTCTGACTCACCACTGTGTGACAGGAAAAAAAAAAAGAGGAGACGGCTTAGATTGCTGCTGAGGATTCAGTGAATGCATCAGAGAGCAAAAAAAATAAACAAAAACTGAAAACCTTCACAGTTAAGTCAGTAGGAAGCAAGTGGGATGACTGGCTGACCCAAAACCAAGGACAGGAAAATAAAGGAAATCGACAGCAGAATACAAACATCATTTGTGGCCCCTTTCTTGATTCTGTGTGGCCTCAAAGAGTAAGAATGGCACATAATAAAACTCACCCCACCTTCCACCCCCAAGGCAGTGGACATGCTGTATTTTCATAACTTAACACCTTCCGGAGAGTCTTTGAAGGGAGAGTGTGCCAGGAGGTTGCCAGGTCTGCTAATACTGGTGCTTACCTTTGGTTACACTGCAAAAATGATCTCAAAATTTGTAAAAATGTCTTAAATTAAGGGTATTTACCCTTAATTTGAACAGGTAAATAAGATGATTTGCCAATGGAATGAGTATTTTTACTCTTAAAATAAGCTATCTAGATATTATGCACTTGAAATAAGACAATGCAGTTGTTTTTTTCTTAATTTAAGTGTAAATTGTCTTGTTCCATTGGCAAAGTGTCTCACTTAAATCCTTAATTCAAGAAAAATGCACTTATTTTAAGAAAAAATGAATTATTTCATTTTTTTGCAGTGTAGTGTTACTAAATATTGCAAATGCTTGTTCAGAAGGAGAGAAGCAACCTTTGCGATGCTTCTGAGTCTCTTTGCTTCCTTCAGTCGGCATCATTGCTTAAAAGCTTGACCAATGTTCATCCTTGTTTTTGCTTCTTTTTTGGCTTGAATCTGAGAAATGTAGAGCTGAGAAGGAGCCATTTGCTTCATCTCACATGACTTTGACCTACAACTCCTTATTGTGCACAATTTTTATTTTGTATTTTTTGCTTAAGTTTACATTGGAACCAGAAGTAATTATTTATATATTTTGGAACCTGCGAAAAATCCATGAAACAATATTTTAAATCCTGCAATTTTTTCAGTAGAATTAGTACTTTTATTGTGAACCACTCTAGACATTCTTTAAAGGTTTATTTAAAACCATTTTGATGAGAAAGTTGTAATTAAGAATTTTTAATTGAAAAAAAAAAATCAGGAAGAGCTCTAAATATTCAAATTGTGAAAAAGAAAAGTTTGCTTTATTTTTATGGTTTTTTTGTTATAGTTAATAGGATGACAAATGTCCAGTTTGCTACTTTAATAATAATAAAAAAAAAGATATATTCTTTGTAGCACAGAAGCCCTTTCAACTTGACAATTTTGAGAAAGTTGGGAAAGTTTGATCACCACTTTACCCCATCCTAATAAAGCTCAGGAGTAATTTTAAATTTTAATCTGCATTTTTACCATTAAAACTGAGCATCACTGCAATCTCAAAAATCTGCCTTGAAGCAACACTTGGATGGCTACTGTATTACAAATGATATATATTCATGTCTTCATGCCAGTAACATAATTAGCTGATTGGAAGCAATTCTACTCCCATAGATGCACACAGTTGGTATGCAGAGACATTGGTGTCATAATGCCAAAACTCATGGTGCAGCTCTTCCATGTCAAGATGATGAAGAAGGAAACTATGGATCACCACCAGGGTGCCATGTTGTAAGGGGGTGGCAGAAAAACAAATCAAAATCTGATCCTGATGCTTATCTGCATGTCCAATCATTGGGTAGGTGGCTCCCTTCTGTTTGGAGACATATCGTGGTAAGCACTTCAGCACAACCCACACTTTGCTAAAAAATGTGCGCTATTTTATAAGGGAAACAAACAGGTCTTCCTACATATAATGCATCGTTACAAATATCAAACAAACAAAATTATTATTATAATAACTTCTTTTGCTTGTGTTTCAAGTTTATGCATCCAATGTAAACTGGTCCTAAATTCATTAATGTTATTGGTGCATGTTTTTCCTAAAACAAAAGGTTTGATAAATCTATGTGTGCTTTAAGGAATTTTACCAACATGAAGGATTATCAAATTCAACTTTAACCAGGTTCTGTATTTTCAATGTTTATTTAAAGATGATAAACATTGTTACACTTTTATAATAATAATAAAAACAAATCTATACCATAGTCATTTAAGTCAGAGCTACAGTTACTCTAATATAATCAGGTCCATCAACCACCCATGACCCGGAGGGCATATTTTGTTACACAACACAGGGAGGTAGGGAGGGTGTGGGTAAAAAAATTTTTTTTTAATTGTCAAAAGTTCAAAGACAGATCCTGAAAACTTTAGAATTAATCTGATAGTAAGACTCAAATGAAAAGATCCTGAGAAGTTCTATTTCTAAGAAAACTATGAAGATATTTGGGTTTGGGTCACTGCACATGATTGATAAACCCTTTTTTTTTAAATGTATTATATATATATATATATATATATATATATATATATATATATATTCCAAGTTTGACTCCCACTGAGGAGAAGAAATACAGCAAACAGAACCAGTTTGGGTGCAGGTTATATAGAGAAGGTGCCTGACACCTCTCCATGTGAGGCTCAACCTCTACAATTACTCTCCCGCTTCTTGGCAAACAACCCACGGACACAAAAAAGAAAAAAAATACAAACCCTTTGGGTCATGAAGTGGCCACTGTCATCACTCATTGACCTTCTCTAACGTCGCTGTACTTCCTTGTTGCAAAAACAATATCTCTGCCTACAGAATGAAGCATTGAGCCTTTCCAGTTCTGTGTTGTTAGGATTTGAAAAACTGCAGTAATAACCTCTCAGACTTAGCTTAGGGGTAACATCTATTGTTGCAGCTGGCGTTAAGCCTGTGGTGGCGTTGGCTCATTCTAAATGATGTCCACAAACCTCGGACTGGGCAGCCAGCCAGTGGGGGGCTGACATTACTGGTGGCACCCAATGATAAAAGCCAATGTGCACTTATGAAATCCTACAGGCAGGAATCAGTTCTGGAAACGATTACAAGCAGGCTGAGAAAAAAAAGGGAATTTAGCTAATTCAATAATAGTTAAGGCAGACCTGAAAGGTTAATACACTCATTATTTGTGTGCAACACCATTTCTCTCAGCAGCTTATCAACATAAATAAAAATAAAATAATAACTCAGAAATGACCCAGTTTATAAATTGTAAACTTGTGTATCAGCTACAGTGGCGGTTCTAGACCAAATGTACCAGGGGGGCCAGGAGGGGGCCAACGTGTTTTCATGGGGGCACAGAAAAGCATGAAATAAAAAAACAGGCCAAGGGATTGAAATAAATTAACATAGCTGCATGAAGTGAAATTTCTATTAAATTAGGTTTCATTAAAATTCTAAATGTCTTAATAGGTCAATATACATTCAGAATTTAGGAATTTTCCTTTTTTTTTAACTTAATTTAAGTTTAAAATTACAGTTTTCTATAAAATCTGAATAAGCATTTAAGAAAAAACTGTTAAAATTAGCTGTAAAAAGTAGAGTTTTTTTTTACATTTGTTTTGGAAAAAAACATTTAGCAGATGAAAACTGGGATCCTATCTCAATACCACTTATGCTACGTTTTTAAACAGTTAATAAAACAGAATTTGTAAAGAAAAAAATAAAATTGATCCAAAGGATCTATCAGTAACCATGTCTTTTTCAGCGCAGAATTCCTTTGAGTATTATGTCTTCAGTACAGGGGCCATAATAGGGGCCAGGACTTGATCTACAGGGGCCCTGGCCCCCGTTGGCCCCTGTCTAGAACCACCCGTGATCAGCTAGTCAAAGCATTGGATCAGAGCTGTCTCTTAAAACACACAGTTCTTATTTAATGGAGCAAAAAAAGTTCCATAGGGAGAAATAACACCGACATTTTAACCAATGGCGTTAAAAACTGTGTCACCAAAACATGATGGAGCAATAAGCTATTTTAATCATTCACAAAGTGGCAGGCTTGCTGCTTCCCGAGAATCAAGAACTGACTCCAGTTTTGGCAGATCTCATCAGGCACAAATCTTAAATGAAAGAGGATTTCAGAACATTCACTTAATTCCTCAGCATGATTAGATTTATAAAACCCTGTCCCTCCAAAAGCAAATCTATCCTGGCTATTCTCTTTAGAACAAAAAAATGCTCTAAGTCGTCTAAATGACAATCCACTCTGAGATGGTCGTTTAGCATGAGTGTGCATGTTAGAATCCGTAGTTATTGGTGAAATACGCATATAGCTTGAGAATAAAAATGTTTACAAGGCTCTGTAAATCTAGAGGGTCCTGTTAAGATCTGCCAGTCTTCAGCCTGATGTTACACAATAACGAGACAAATATTGCACAAGCAGCCCAGGTCGTTGATGTTAAGTAGATGGGATTGCAAGCCAATTCAGTCTCTGTGGCCCAATACTGCTTTTGATTAGTTTTAATTTAATCTAATAAGAGATCAGACTGCAGCAGCATCTCACCTAATAAACATGACATCTATCACAAACAGGTGGAGCCGAGTGAGAATACACTTACTGAAGAGGCTGAAGGTTGTCAAATATGATGTTATGATCAGACAAATCAGTTGTTTAATGAGATATGAGCTCTGCTTAAACAACCGTCAATGCACATAACATTTAAAAAAAAAAATGATTGCAATTTAGATTGATTTTTTAAGGTTTAATGATTAAAATGTAGAGATTAAACTGGCTAACACAAGAAGGAGTGTAAATATCTTATCTGCATACCTCAGTTGTTCAGAAGCTCTAAACATCTCTGCCAATTAAAAGACTGGGAAGATGAGTTGGGAAGGGAGAAATTACCTCGTCTGATGCTGACGGATAAGGACAGACAGCTTAACAAATGAGATTCAGATCAGCATGCCTCTGCGGCCCAAACAGAGCCCTGACTAAATGAACCTCTGTGTCTTTGATATTCAAGAACAAACCTCGCTTTTCAAAGATGCACAAGGGTGGGCGGCAGCGTGGGCATCTGGTTATGATAATACGTCTTACATACAACAAAATGCATTTCAAGGCA